TCGATACTCTTTTTGAAATTTAATGTTGGAAATTGATTGTCAAGGTAAGGTTGTTGATGTTAAGCTTTGGTTGTTAACCACATGAATTTGTTGTTAATGTTACAGTTTAGTTGCTAAGGTTATGGTTTGGATGTGAAGCTTAGGTATAGGTTGTTAAGTATATATTGGTTGTTAACCTTAGGGATTTAATGGTGTATTTTTTGTGTGTGTAGGTATGACTGCGAGATCTACGTTTACCAGTTTATAAAAGCCATTATCGAAGGTAGAAGTGTCCTGCACCTCACGCCCAAAGAGCATAACACATGGGTCATACGAACAAAGCTATCATCCTATTTACTAATTAAAGGCAGGAAGAGGAACAAAGATCTCAATCAACTAGATGACGATGACATTGAGAGATAGACTATTATAAATGTAAATATTTAATTGTTTATGGCATGTCCATTAGTAACCTTGACAACCAATCCATAACAAAGCCATAACCTTAACAGCTAAAGGTTAACAACAAATTCTAACAACCAAGTCACAACCAAGCCCTAAGCTTAACAACTTGACAACCAAGACATAACCTTAACAGCGAAAAGTTAAGCTTAACAACAAAACAGTAACATTGACAACAAACCCATAAGCTTAACGACAAACCCATAAGCTTAACAACCAAACCATAACCTTAACAACCAAAAGCTAAGGTTAACAACCAGTCCGTAAGCTTGACAACTAAGCCCTAAGCTTAACAACTAGTCATTAACTATAACAACGAAACACACAACATTATAACAGACATTCCATATGAACATCAAGTTAAACAAAACAAAAGTAAATGTGCATCAAGTTAAACAAAACATATCATCCAATATATATTGTTAAAAATCAAGTTAAACAAAACAAAAGTAAATGTACAGATCTTGGTAACCTAGTGAGGGGCTGCTCCTCCCTCGCTATCCTTGCTCGAAGCGAAGTCGTCTGAGAAACCTCTGTCCCTATGAAAGGTGGAACCCCCAACACCTTGGACCTGGAGAAACCGCTGCCAGAGGTCTCTCTCCACCGTTATATGCCTAGTGTCCCATGTTACCTCAATCAACTCTAGGTCGGTGCTAAACGGCTACATACGCTGGCAGCGACAGCTAGGGGAAGGTTGGTCAACAGCAATGTCGATAGGATCAGCCTCCCTCTTCGTTTGGTGCTCCTGTACCTCCGGCTCGTCGATAACTTGAGTGACGATGTAGCCTTCCATCAGGTTGTCGTCAATAGGAGAGATATAACAGAACCTAATCCTCTTAGGGACATCCAAAACATCCCTAATCTTGAGCAGCACCCTACAGTCTTTGAAGTTATTTTTTATGGTGACGTCGTTGGAGCACATGACGCATTCGCCGATACCCTCGAACATCGATTGTAGAAACTCCCAATCCCAGAGGTGTTATGAGAGTTTAAAGAGGTGGATCCACGTTAGAAAGTGTTTGGACAATGTGGATAGCTTGAGGTCCTCCCTCCAACGCATGAATCTGCCCTTGAAGGAGCTCATATCTATCAGCTTGAGCTCGATGGATTGATCTATAAGGCAGTCGGACGGAAATTAAACAATGAAGCTAGTTCCGGCGGCCTACTTGATCTGATGGGGTCATGATGAGACGTTAAAGCGGTAGGCAAGCATTTCTCTGAACTCCTGAATAGATGGACGACCCATCTCAAGATCGAAGATGGCGAAAGAAGAAAGCTCTTGAATAGTGTTGGCGGTGTTGGAATGGACGACAAGCAATCGTGGAGGAACGCAAGCTCTCAGACCATGAGGGAAATCCCGGGAGAAATGCCGTGAGCCATGGCAGTAGACGCAGACGATATCATCATGAGCCATGATCTTCTAGTTTATGACAGAAATGTGACTTGAAGGTGCTAGGAGGCTAATTGGA